GAAAAAAAGAAAAAAAAAAAGGACCTGGGCAAAACATTTTCACAACACAAAGAAAAATGCACTTGGTTTTGTTTTGTGTCATTATTTTATGATATATTTTATTATTTCATAACCGTTTGCTTTTTTAAAAGCATTTCTCTTCATCCATGAATAAAACAAAGAGAGATGCCTGACGCAAATGGATAATTTATTGGTACCAAGAGCAAGCGAGTCCTGATGATAAATACAGCGTTTGCAAAAAAAGCGCCGTAAAAGAGTGATAAAGGCCTGATGCTCTGCTGCTTGGGCCGGGTGGCGTTGTATGGACAGGTACAACAGTTGCGTTGCTGTATTTGTTGTATTCTAAAGAAAAAAAAAAAATAATAATAATCAAAGTAAGGGAAAGACCAAAAGAGAGAGAAAAAAACCGAAGAAATAGGCGTCAAACTTTCCCACGGGAACAGGTTTTCTCGCTAGCACACAATCGCTTGCTGAAGCGCTTGTTAAAATGTTAAAAGTGACCTGCTTCCTAGCCATTCTAAGGTAAAAAAATCATGCGCTCGTCTGATTACACGATTGCTAAGAACCTTAGTATGTTGATAAGGACACTGGCATGTCTTTTGCTCTTCTGCTTTTGATGGGAGAAGTTGAAAGAAAGAAAAAAAAAAAGCTGACCTTGTTTCGGTAGCACTAAGATACTTCGTGTCACTGACATCACTGCTGGACCAACTTTGACGGTGAAAGTGTAATCTCCAGAGTCTGATTCTTTCAAGTTTCTTATAACAAGAACAGTCAGCCAGTTTTCTTTCTTTGTAAAAGTGGTGTGGAGGAGCACGCGCCCATAAACCGAAGGTAGCATCGGTATCCCACTTTTCTTCCAGCCCATGTCTTTTAGCTAAACTCACAACGAATAAAATAACAAGTTCACTTCATGGGATCATTTGTCGTAGACGTGGATAAATATAAATCGAGCCTTTGAAAAATGCTCTTTCCCAAGCTGTTAGAAACCCTTGAAGAACTTTGCTACAGGTTTCGGATTCAGAGCTCAAAGTAACAACATGCAAAATCAAAATATCTGTGGCGCGGGAAAACGCGCGTTGAAATGTCGTGATTGGTTTCTGCATCTGATTGGTTGAGCAGGTGGGGCCAGTTTTCTGAGCCAGTCACAGAGCATTGAAGTTTAATAAGACCACCGCAATGCGGCTTTAATAAGACTCTCGCATGAAATTTCCCCTACCACGGATCTTTCTCACATTCAACAAGGGTAATTTAATTTTTGCAAACCAACTCACCTGTGCTTTAGGTTCACCACCTTTCACTGTAACATTTATGTTCACCACGGGTTCTCCTTCGTGAAATCTCTGGTACACAGCGTGCGGTTGAGCTATCAACCTTGGCTTGACTGGTATAGTGAAAAGTAAGGCAATGCACAATATCTATGAATAAAGTTCAGTTTTGCTGCATGCATTGGAGAAGTAAACAGTCTGCAAATGTTTGCAATCAGTGACCGTGGGCTAAATTTTTAAGAAACTAATCTCAAGGTCTTAGGCGCAATTTTAACAACTCTATTTAGTTCTGTGTCCGTTTTCCTCGCGTGAACTAATTTTTTGAAAGGCAGCTGCTCATCAAAAGCACGATGTCGGCCCTTGGCTCTCTCGATCGCCTTTATCTTTGCACATGCGCAGTCCTTCAATCCTTATGCTCACGAAAGGAACTGCTTCAGTGAGGTTTAACCGTCTTGATAAAGTGTTGCAAGTAATTGTAGTTGCTTATAGAAATTTCCAGACTGCTGAGTCATGCTGACTTTCATACCGTAGAACTTTCCAGAACATTTTATCAAGTCACGTACTTATTATGTGATACTACTGAAATAGTTCCTATGTGAGCTTTTGGAATGTTCCAGAACATTTTGTGAATATATGTAGAGACTCGTTTATGTGTTAGTAGTAGTTGTTATCGTCGAAGCCACGACTGTCTCGAAAGTTTTACCGAGAGAGAGTTATTGCGGACGATTGCTCGTTTCAAGGGACTTGAGAGACAGCAGTGAGATAATGTCAGTGGTGAGCTAGGATATAGACTGTGTTGGGCTGAATTAAGTTTATTAACGATAAGTATTGTACTGCTTTAGGATTCGCCCCTTGTTAAGAACGTTACTCGCTGTTTAATAAAGTAGTCGAGTTTGTGGAATTGTAGCGTTTTTCTGTCGGTAGGATTATACCGTAACAGAAGTATTAACAATTCTTGAGAAAATTTATCGCATTTCATCTCCCTTACTTCGCCATTAATTAATATGAAACCCAACCAATCTTTATTGAGGCTAAATCGGAAATCTAGTAAGTTGTTTATTGGCTCAATACTTACTGATAACTCTGACTTCCACTTTCTTTTCATACTGGCAATACTTTCCCCTGGCCACAATCCTGTATGTACCCGCGGTCTCAAAACTGATCCGAGCTAATTTAAGTTTCTTTCGGAAAGACGACGAGCCATACCTTTCCCCTGATTGAATAATAAATTTTAAAAAATTGTAAGTAATGAAACATTTACCCGGATTAATTGTTTTCGAACAGTGCCTGATTGTAGCAAAATAGGAAAATAGCACGAAAAATTATACGTTGAACGACTGATCTCTGGGGAATTAAGCAAGCCTGGGAAAACATCACTTAAAAATTAAATTTTCGTCCCTCCAAAGTATATTAAAAGTAACTAAACGTTTGCTCTGTCTCTCTCTATCAGAGAGTTCCAGCTAAAAATATGTAAAAAATTTTTCCGTCAGTGATCCCATTTTCAGAATGCGCAAATTAAGGGATATCAAGTTGTTAGTTTGGAATAGGACGGCCAGGAAATGTACAAAGTTTTAAAACGCACGTGCTGAGCTTTTGTTTTACCAATTAAACCTTTTGTTTGGCCTCGTCTTCGTTGCCGTTGCCGTCGTGGTTTGCTTAGCTAGGGCCCCTTTTCAAATTTCAGGGCCATACTGATTCGCTCACCAGGGAATGTGAATCCCTCCGTATTTGTGTCTATTAAAGTTCCATTGTGATACCAGTCAACAGTAATTAGCGTTTTGTCATTCTCAATTTTTACTTCCAGTATGTCGCTCACGTCTTTTACCGCTAAATGAGGAGATGGTGTTACCCAAGTGATTTCCGGCACGTCTGAAGAAGCAAAACAAAAATGTAAGGGTGAGTGAATATACGCAACAAGTAGTTTAAAATTCATAGAGGTCATGAAAGGCAACTCGAAGGGTTTCTTTTGTTAAACGAATGCAGTTGTTTAATTCAGACATTTAAATGTGACGTAAAGTATTTAGTGTACACATGGTTATCTTGCGTCAAACAGAGATAAAGCCGTGCTGTGAATACCCTATTTGCTATAAAACTTATAATAAGGCCGGCGCGATTGACGTAATGTGATGAAAGAGGGAAACATAAGTTGTAAATTGGTTCCAAGTTTCTAATCATATCGTTATATGTTCCTGAGATTTCACAGCAACCAAACTCTATTATTTTACACTCTTAATTGGCGAGAGATCACTTGAAAGTAAACTGTTTTCCGAGAGATTACAAACAAAAAACCGATAAAGGTTTTGACTAAAGCTTTTCTAAACGGATTTTAGCGAAATGACTAAAGAAAATTCATCGAAGAGCTTACCTTCGGTGACAAAAAGTCGAGTCACGGCTCTAGCCAACCCAAATCGATTGCTGACTTCTGCCTCATAAATTTTTCCCGAGTCATTGACTTCGGGGTTATAAATAGTCAAAGTGACGGAGTTCCTAACATTACGCCCTCGTATCTTTTTGTTTTTTATATATTTTATCATATACCAATCAACTCTCCAGTAATGTGGGATCTCATGATTGTTGTCATGCAAGGTGACGTTCAGTTTCACTGGAATTCCTACGCATGCGCCGAATGTTTCTGGCAGCGAAATGCGAGGCTCGTCTACATGGAAAAATGAAAACAACAAAGAAATTAACGTCTACTGAAAATCACATACTCCAAAAAAAAAATCAACAACAATTTCACGAAGCTTGTGGGAAAAGCTTTTAGTTTAGTTCAGAAATGGTGTATCACAGTAAGTTGCGAGTTCTTGAGATCGAATTGAATTAAGGTCAGCGAAGTTTGAAAATTGCAACATACGTTTGTGTGCTTTTACTTAACGGAAACAGTTCAAAAATTGTCACATTTGCGGTTCTCCTT